ACCAGCAAGACCAATGACAATTCCCCCTTCTCTCTCCACCTTCCTCCTTCACCTTCACCTCACCAATCTTATTCCTCCCTCAATAATAATAATAATAATGAATGGATGAACCAGAATCAATATCCGAAGTTCCCTCTTACTACTGACTCAACTCAACAACGACAACAACAACAACCAGTCCACCATAGTTATGGCTTCCCTCCTTCAGCCTCCTCTCTCATGCATAGGCTATGGCGGACTACTCCAGGCAGCTAGGGTGTTGCGCTGATGTCCAAAGGACAACCCAAGCAGCTATGGTGTTGCGCTAATGTCCAAAGGACAACGCAGAGCAGCTATGCTGCTGTTGACTTGGTCCGCTATGCCTGACTCTGCCTCGAGCTTCCCTGGTGCCGCACTACCCCAACTGGGGCCTTCCAGATGCAGCGCCCAACAAGGTGATGAAGATGGTGTCTTCCATAGCCAGGTAAGTGYCCCGCCACTCTCCTACCATGCCCCCTTCTCCCTTCTCCTCAAGCTGGACTGCTCGCCATAGCCAGGCTGAGCTCCAGCGGCCCTTCACCTCTAAGCAGCGCTGCGCTCCAGCAGCATGTCGCCAATCCTTGCACTCCGCAAATGAGGAAGAGCTCTTTGCTCTTCCTAGAGATATAGCGGCCTACCGGCCTCCTGGGTGGTGACTTCCTAGACCGAGCGGCCTCCCAGCAACCGGTACCTCCTCCCTTTCGGAGGGAAACATCATTGCAGGCTCTGCTATCTTCCCTACAGGCCCTAGACCCGGGCTGGTACCGGCCTACCGCTATCCTACCGCTACTGGGCCTCTAAAAATGCCAATTTTTTATCTTCTTCTGCTCGGCCTCCAGTACCCTACACCCCTACCACTACTTGAGTGGTACCGACCTACCTGCTACTTGAGTGTTTTTCCCCGCTGTTCTAAGTGTTGCGGGCCTACCCCCGCTACTTGAGTGTTTTCCCCCTGCAACCCTCAAAGTCACGGCCACAGGTAAGTACCGGCCCTGCGGGGCCCCTCAACCAACAAGTACCTTTGCGGGTCATACACACACTCAACCGACAAGCACTCAGACAAGCATGCAAACCAGCAAGCACGCACACACACAGACATGAAAATCACAGCAGAATGCGGGAATTTCAGCAAGGCATTCATTCCAGCGGCAAATCCCAGAAATCAGCAGTGTTCTCAGTCTGTGTTTTTGGCGGGTCATTACATTATCCCCCTCTCAAAAGCGAGGTCCTTTTGAGCGAGTAACTCATTTAGAGTTGGCACAAAATGCATCATAAGAGTAAGTCAGAAGGAGAGACTTAGTAAGTCCGTGAGGAATCACGGTCGAAACAAATTTAACAGTCTGTCCCTCAGCGATCTGTCGTTCATAAGCGTTCACAACACGGGGAACACTCTTTAGCAGCTCTTTTCGGTCGATCCAGAAGAACTCAGTCAACGGGTGATAGAGGAAGTGAACCTTGTACTGTCTGTTCCTCCCTCTTCCCTCGTGAAAAATGATTATGTCTATCTCATGACCGTCGTCGATAGGGCGAGGTATCATAGGGTCCCGGAAGGGAAACGTCTCATCATCAATATGTGAAAACGTTTTGGACGCATGAAAGACCGGATACGTGCGCAGATAAGGAGGCACGTCAATCACATATGAAGGATCAAAATCATCCCCAACCACCTTCAGAATCTGCCAAGGGCCATAGTACAATGGAAGGAGTTTTCGTTATATGCCCTCTTCATCAGAAAACTCAGACAGTTTAACCCAAACATAATCCCCTACTTTGAATTTTATTCTTTGCGCAACTTGTTAGCATGTTTTATTATGGCATGCTGACGCTTGTTCATGGCTGCAATAACAGCTTTGAGCAAGCGTGCGTACTTGGCATTGTAGCCAGGCATGTCGGGCATCAGACCAAATGTCCGTTCAGGGAACAGATAGAAGAGGGGATTACACATCGGTCATCCATATTGCAACTGGTTTGGTGTCACACCAGTTGCAGAGTGAATGAAGTTGTTGTACAATCCCTTCACTTTATGCAACTCCTTGTCTCACGTGTTCTGATCTGGAACAATCAATGCGCGAAGTAGTTGGATGACAGTCTGGTTGATCTCCTCAGCCAGTCCATTGGCTT